GACCAGAAATGCAAGAGGCAAACTCTTAACAAAGCAGCAGCCCCAACCCAAACACACTTGCTAACCATGGCAATGTCCAGGGCATGCCCTTGGGAAGACGGAAGCCATTGCTGTGGCACCCCAAGGTCGTGAGAAACCCATGTAGGATGTCACATGTGCGTTCCTCACAGTCTTCATCTCATGAATTCTAAAATTCTAAAATAAATCAGCCCAAGCTCTGAAGCTCCACCGCCTCTGTGAGTGCCCAGCCTTGAGAGTATGCTCAGGGGCTCCACTGACATTTCAAAGTGCTCCCAGCACACAGTGCGGACAACTGCAGGCGCCACAGACGGACGGACGGACGGCGGACTCTTCAGAAGCACTATGCGGATTCCCTGAAAGCCCCTATTTTTTATATGAACGGTCGTCACAGCTTCTGGAAACAGGCTGTTTTGCCTGTGTTTGACAATCTCATGTTTAACTCCAGTAACATTTACTGAAAGACCCGTGCTGGCTAGCATACCAAAGACCAAGGGGGAGGGGTGTCAAGCAGACCTAGGCCGAGGTCTTTGCACCCGTCACCGACATGGTCTCCTATCCATACTCCTGCTGCTTGTAGTATACTAAGCACTGGTGGCTTCCCCAGGAGCCCATCAATTACTTGTGCTCAAGTGTGTGGCCTGGGCGCGGGAAGCTATAAAGACTGAAATGGCCACCAGGGTTTGCAAACTGGTCCCAGAAAGAGATAAGCGACGGAGTAGTGGCAGTAGGGATGGAGTGTGGCACCAGGTACCCAAGAGGTGACGTATCAGCCACATTAGCTTCCAGTGTAACAGAAGCCACACTACCTGTGATGGTACATCTTCACTGTCTCTTTGACTGCATCTGCAATCACCATGGAAACAAAAACCACTAGGTGTGTCCGTGATGATGTTTACAGAAAGGCTTGACTAAGATATAAAGACCCTACTCCATGGTCTGGGGACCTGGACTCTATACAAAGGGGAAAGGAAGCTAAGCATCAATGTTCTCCATTCCCTTCTTCCTGACTACCAGTTGCCTCAAGTTACTGCCCATGCCTTTCCACCATGAGAGACTGTTCGTCCCCTCAAATTGTGAGCCAAAAACAAAACAAAACACCCTTTCCTTTCCCTAAATTGCTATCACCAGGCGTTTTGACATAGTGACAGGAAATGTGCCTAGTTCATACCCTAGTAGATTGACCCAGTTTTATTCCTGTGCATCATAAAATACTTCCCATTATAAGATGCATACTTATACTAGGCAGGAACCCCTGAGCTGGTTTAAAGAACTCATTTGCCCATGAATCACCTCGAAAGAAAGTCAATGAGCAGAAAGGGAAAACAGGGGCACCAAGGATTCAGGCAGCACTGTCTTTAACAAAGGATCCTAGATGGAGTGTGAAGTCTAACCTTGATGAGGTGGAGAATGAGGAACCGATACAACCAGGCTTGACAGTTTTAAACCAAGCAAGTAATGTATGCAAAGATGCAAAGAACGGATGACGCCATGCCATGAGAAAACACCGCAGTGGCACCGGAGTCTCGTTCTCATGATATTGGAAAAGCTGGCCAGACAGCATCAACTCAACTGTCTTAAAAAAAGTAAACATAAGCCGGGCGTTGGTGGCGAATGCCTTTAATCCCAGCACTCTGTGAGTTCGAGGCCAGTCTGATCTACAAGAGCTAGTTCTAGGACAGCTAGGGCCACACAGAGAAAGCCTGTCTAGAAAAGCCAAAGCCTGGGAAAACAAAAGTGAACATAATACACGATAACAGATACCGCCACTGAGTGAGTGGTTTCGGAGGGACATGTGGGCACACACAGGGACACAGCTGAAGGGACGAAGCGGTGAGCGTCTGAACAGACTGTGCTCGGCGTCCTGACTCACAGCTGAGTGACAGTTTGCTGTCACTGACTGTCTCATTGTGGCTTCTGCCTCATTCTCTCTCAACGGCAAGGTAGACAAATATGTTGCTTATTGTTTCTTGGAAGTCTGGTGGGGAAGTCATGCTGGGGAGGGTCAGTTCTCCAGACTAGGGCGACGTGTTTTTCAGACATAAGGCAAGTTTTTGAGTATCACGTTTAAAGAGCTGGCAGGGGAGGTGCAGCACCCACAGGCATCTAAGACTACGCAAACGAAGGGGATGCAGCGGGCCGCGCGGGGCTCATCACCGCCCTACCTCACTCACTGTGAAAACAAGAGGACGAGCTCCAGGGTACACGGCTCCAAGGACCTCAGCCTCGCTGACACACTTCGTTAAAAAACGCAATTAGGTAATTTTCAAACAGGCACTTAGAACACAGCTAGAGCCTATATAACACAGCTCGGAGCGCTAGCTTGGTCAGGCCTCGGAGGGTTCCTTGGTGCGGCTCTTAGGTATCTGTGACGAAGAATTGGCAGCATTGAGGACAATCTGTATGCATTCTCTATATAGAAAACCAGCAGCGATCTAACCTTTTGGGCCACTGCTGTGATTATATGGAGCTGTCAGTGATGTGGCAGATAGAGGAGACCTCACCAGATGCATTCACTTAACCCACTTCTCAATTTACGAATGGCCCACAAAAACACAGGCAGATCTTAGACACACAGCAAGGCTGAAACTAGACAAGACAACGAGAAACCCGCATTTTCTCAAATATATGATCAGGAAAATCTCTCTGCCCTCTCGGCAGTGGCAGAAAGCCCATCTGTAGCTTCTGGGAGGGGAGATGGGAAATAGTGCAATAAACACACATTCTGCCTTCACCCCTCGGCTCAGCAGGCCAGCCCTCTATTTCAGGGAAGCTCTGACAGCAGTAGGAAAATCTGTGCCCACACTGGTCAACTAGTCACAAAAGTGTATGGAATAAGTAAAAAAGAAAGGAAGGAAGGAAGGATAGAAGGAAGGAAGGAAGGTAGGAAGGAAAGTGTTCAACGATACGGAGAAATAGAGTATGTGTGTACACAATGATTCAGAGATGTTATATTTTGAAGAGTGGAGGGAGAGTATCTTACTTACGAGTGATTGTTATGATATAATGATGCACAGAATTGAGGGGAAGGCAAGGTTCTGAAGAAAATGTGCACACATAATGGACCAGATGTCAGTCAGCAAGAGGGGTCATTGTTATTATTATTATTGTTATTATTATTATTATTGTCAAGGGGGAAATGAACAACAGTTGAAATACTGGTGATTTTCAATGAAAATTCTGCAAGCCTACAACCCTGTAAACTAACACTTGTATTTTGTAAACTAATTTGTAAATTGTAAACTAATTTGCATTTTAAAGATGTTAGCCAAGAGTGAGGGACACTCCAGGGAAGTGTCCAGACTCTGACCTCCAACACAGCCTCCACTGGTGGGGGCCAGAGCTCCCACAGAAATGGCCGATTTCAGTCATTGTGCAGGAGTCCCAAGAAGAACATACCACACTGTCCCATTGCGCGAGACACACGGCAAGTTTGCTCTTTGCTTCCACATGTCCAAACTTTTCTACATTCCCAGGCTGGCATTTTAGAAATGTGGAAAAAAAATGAACTACTCTCTAAGCACATCTTGAGTATGAAAAGAAGTCTTAAGACTGGTACTTAACTATTTCCACAGTCTGAGATTTAGTGAGGAAAATGATTTACCAGTGCAAAATGATTTCATTAATGATACTGGGGTCAGTGTGATGACTCAGCAGGTAAAGGCACTTGAAATCCCTGCAACCCACATGATGGAGAGAGCAAAATCACCCCTTAAATTGTCCCCTGACTTCCACCATATCCAAGTAGATTAAATGGAAAGTAGTTTGCTGATCTACACATGATGCTCTGGGTTTGGATGCTTCGGTTAAAAAAATATTAAAACAACATGTTTTGGTTAATCTTAATGCACATGTTGATACACACACACATACACGTAAACTATGATAAAAACCAACTAGCGTATAAAAATACTGACGTATGAACAGCATGTCTTACAGAGCCCACACTGCAATTGGCCTCTCTGTTCGGAGCAGTGTCATTTGGAGACATGGATGTGTCTGCTATGATTCCTGCTGAAGCCAAAAACATAAATCAATGCTCAAACTTAACCAATGAGTCAAGTGCCACGGTGACTCAGTGTTTAGTTACAACATGAAGTCACTATGGTGTACATGTGGCAAACACCAACCATGATAAATACACAAGAATAACCCAGAATGCATCAGTAACTTAAAATAAGTGGTCCACGAAAATCCTACCAGAAGATTACCATTATCTCAGATCTGGCAGTGAGCAACATTTGACACTAAAATAACAAAAGATGTCAATAAACTGGACTTGGATAAATTATAGACAGGGATAAACATTAACAGCAAATCATGAGATCTAGTGTCTAGATATCTTAAAATTTCATTTATTATTACTGTATATGCGTGTGTGTGTGTGTGCACGTGCGCGCGCGCGCGTGCGCTCATGTCATGGCTGAGTGCAAACAGGTCAGCGGACAACTGGGAGTGGGTGTTCTCCTGACATTACAGGTTCTGGGATGGAACTGAAAGTCACCTGGCTTAAGCAGCAAGCGCCCCTACCATTGGGCCAACTTTCGTACTCAAGAAACTTACAGTTCAACAACGAAACAACAAGAAACCCCGTACTACAAGCACACGAGAAGATACTCGGCAACAAATGTACTGGTGAAAGGCTTTTCTGTGGAACGTCTGGATAAACCTGCTCTATGCCCAGGTAACGAAAGCAGAACTTGTTAGCCAAACCCACGGACACATGTTGTATCTTCAACGGACAGCACTGAAGTTTATATTCAATGCCATTAAGCAACACACACGCATTCCAGCGTAACACAGTTCCCTGGAGTTTTGTATCTCCTGTGATTTAAAGGCTGAAGTTTCTTACTAGGCAATGGCCATGTTTAAACGTTCAACTCTGGGGCCAGGATCAGGCATATCTCAAGCGCTTTATTTCAGCAGCTCCTCTGTTGTTAATTAATATTAAGATATAGGAAAGAATAAAGGGCTTTCCTTACCTACACATGGCAGGGAGTAGCCGAGCTGAGCGTCATGGACAAACTGCCGATCGTTGAGTCTTGTCACACAGTACAGGTGGAAACAGTCCAAGCAGATCACGTGGCGATGGTTACACTGGAAGACCAGGACAGGGCTCCTGCAGAGACAAAGGAGAAGCTTCTGTGGGACCTCCACCGGGGAGAGAATCCTACACTAGGCTTGCTTCGCACATAGTCTGTGCCCAAACTGTGGCTGCCCAAGCTTGAACTCATCCCTTCTAAGGCGATACTTTAAGCACTGGAGACACTCCATGAGCTACAGAGAGAACTGGCTGTGCTAATTCATATTCCAGGTCAGTAAGTTTACCAATCAGTTGTTTAAGCCTGAGATTGAACACCATCTCTTGCTGGAAGCCTGCCCTGATTCCAAATTAACCTCCTCACTCACCACACTCACAAAGTAGATTATGCAGACACCTCTCGTACGTACTTTCACTGGCCCTTCCCTGACTACACACCCACCACACAGCATGGGGACCTCCATTCCTGCTTACCCACTCTGCCTCCCACGCGATGGACACTGCCTTTTCATTACAATGACGTTCCCACAGAAGCAGACTGTGTAAGCCTTTACATTGTCTCTTGCATCGAATCATAATGATATATAAAATCAGAACTTGCCAAAGTCGAAAGGAAAAGGACCATTGCACCAAAGGACCATTGCACCAAAGAACCATTGCACCAAAGGACCATTGCACCAAAGGACCATTGCACCAAAGAACCATTGCACCAAAGGACCATTGCACCAAAGGACCATTGCACCAAAGAAGCTACGCTTAACAGCCGGTGCTATTAAACCAGCGATCAGAAAAAGGGAGTTTAGAAGCAAGGGAACAGCCAACAGGAATTTTTCTTTTTCTATTCTAAGAATGCTGTCTGTTTGACAACCATCTTACGAAAACATTCAACTTCCCAAACTGTCCCAGTGAGATTAACAATAAGTCAATATATACAAATCCTAAAAATGCCGGGTTGCCTTATATTGTGGTTGGAATGAAAAATGCCCCCGAAGGTTCATGCATTTAACAGTTGGGCCCCAGCTGGTGGCACTGTCCGGGGAAGGTTACAGAACCTTTAGGAGGTGGAACCTTGCTAGAGGGAACTTGTCACTGTGTGTGGTCTATGAGGATACACAGCTTCGACTCACTTCATGCTCACATTCTTGCCCTTCCAGTGTGTAGACAAAAGTTTCCTGGTCCTGTTTCTGAACCACCCACGCCTTCCCCACTGTAACGGACTGGATCACCATGGACCCATTCACCAGAATGAACTCAGTGTGCGATGATGTCCTTGGCCCTGTTATTCTGTAACACCAACACAGAAGTAACTGCTGCAGTTATAAAGTTTATAGATAACTTTATAAGAAAATAAATCTCCCAGAAAGTCATATTACTTTGCTGGCAAAACGAGAAATGTATGCTTTGTGTGAACAGAGGTACAAATTGATTGTATTCCCAAGGCAGTTTCAACAGTGAGTTTCACTTGCAGTTACTTTAGATGAGCCTATTGCGTATGTAAAGACAGAATACAAACATGTTCGTTCACACCCAGCTCTTAGCAGTTATAAGATCTTTCTTTTTAAAAATGTACTTTTCACTAGAAAAAAAAAATCAAGGTTAAATATTAGCATTATAGCAGATAATTCCTTAACAACTACAAGGTTTAAATGGTCTTGTCATCTCACTTATTTCAAAGTGGCACCTAACACAGAAAGTAAAAAAGCACCCCCTGGTGTGTTAAAACCCACAGTCAGCCTACACGGCACATGACTCCCTAAATGCGTCTGAGCATCACTGTGAGCATCCTCCACTTGAACACACCACAGCCCCTTCCGGCTTAATCCCTGTGTCCTGGGCTGTGGTTCCTTCAGAGGACTGTGACATACAGTGCTCTCTTCCCTTTGACTTCACCGCCTGCACACATATGCATGCCACCAAGTGTGGCCTACATGGCAGCTACAATTCACCTTCACCTGCGAGGATAAGCAATGCCAACGACATTCTCAGCTAAGATGGCGGTGATGCCGCGGTAGACCAAGCCTTCGACTGCTGACTCACTATCACCACAAGTGCGTACTGGCGGGACTTGCAGACAGCAAGTCCACAGGGAAATCTTCAAACGCGACTCTAGCAAGCAAATAACAATCTGTAAAAGCAAACCAAGCCACCTACGCTCTGCCACCCTCCCGTCTCAGCACACGAGTTCTTCTTAAACATTTTTTTAAACTTTATTTTATGGATATGTGTGCGCCCGGAATGTATGTGTGCCACATGCCTGCGGGAGCCTGCGGACGTCAGAAGAAGGCAATGGGTCCCCGAGTACTGGAGTTAGAGGTGGTTTAGAGCTGGGAACCGGAACCGAACCCTGGTCCTTTACAGAGCAGTAGGTGCTCATAACTGGCTAGCCATCTCTCCAGCCCTCACACACATGGATTCTTTGCCTTCCCTGTAGAAAAGGAGGCTGAGGACGAGTTTGTTCAGGGTGCAGTTACTGTTTTTCCTTCAGAAGGCACTTAGTTCAAAGGCAAAGACGTCATCCACACAATCCACCGGACTTGTGCTGCTCTACTTTACTAATGACTTTGTGGTGTTTAAAACAGAGTACTGAGAGATGGAAAATGCATAGGAAGTCATTATATGGGACAAACTCCACAAAGATTATTCAGGGTCTCACACATTAAAGAAGGTTTTGGAGGCCCAATGTTGGGGCCTGAAAAGACACACTGTCTGAGGTAAAGAAGCACATGGGTGTCCCCATACCTCTGTAACCTCACAGAAGCAAGCAGGGCCTGGTGAATCTGAAGGAGGCGCATCCCCCTAGAGACACGGGAAGAGTCTGTGCAGAGCTACAGCTGTCCCGGGCCACTAATGCCCCTGGAGCTGAGGTACAGGTGGCTGAAGGAGAGATCTGCCACAGTGGTTGATCCTTAAGTGCCAAGAAGAGAACAAGCTACTGCCACGTGTGGGACACAGAGAAGCATCTGGAACCGTAAGCCCAATTATAAGTCTTCTTTTGTAAGTTGTCTCGGTCATGGTGTTTTATCACAGCCATGGGAAAGCCACTAAGGCACCAGTACTCGTGAAACTGGGTAGTGCTCGGCACGGCACTCATGAAACTCAAGGGAAAAGGAGGGCAGATGAATGGAGAGAAGACAGTGTAGACTTTGCACGGGGCTCTGGGAAGACCAGAGGATGCAACCCCTGCACAGCTGTTCTTGACCGTGGCACTCGCTCAAGGTTCCCCTGTGTTCCGAAGGTCTGTGTCTCCTTAGCTTCATACACTGAGTTGTTGTCGGGTGAGGCGCCATATTCGGGGGCAGGTTTTAAAGAAAATGCTAGGTCATGAGCGTAGAGCCCTCATGAATGGCATTAGTGGAGTCATGAAGGGGACCTCGGAGAGTTCCCTCGAGCTTTCCACCACGGAGGGGCAGAGAGGCACAGTGGAGGAAACAGCAACCATGTTCTCAACAGACACCAAGTCTTCTAGTACCTTCCTCTTGAACCTCATAGCCATACTTTCCTATTGCTCTTAAACTGCCTGGCTTCCGTTTTCTGATAACACAGTCCAAAGAGTCGAAGCCTGAAGTTTCTGAGCCTGTCGGGGCAGTTTCAATGAGTTTAACTTTGAGGAATGTTTGGAAGGAGGACTTCTTAGAGGTCATTTTCACAATCTGACCTGAATTTCTAAGGATCTGGACTGAGTAACAGGAATGCAAAGGTGGGTGTGAGTGACATTTTTTGAGAAGGACCTGCCTGCATTTACGTCTCATGGGTCTTCCGCGCCCTTTGACCAAATTATGTATAAATGTCACTAGATCGATCTAGGAATGATTTTACCCCAGTGAGCCAGGTTACAGAGCAGCTAATTAAAGGTTAAATAAAGTTCTCAATCTTACGTAAAAATAATCGCAGGCCCGTGATTCGACATTACTGAGGAGTTATGTGTAAGCAGTGATTCCCTGTTTTGTTAAAGGAATGGCATATAGGTCATTCTCTCATGCAATATTCAGTACAACCAAAGGAGATTCAGCCATTCCACGTGCTAGCCAAAGCAGGCTATGGTTGCCAGTTGTCACTCACTTGGAAATCCTGTTCTCTGGCATCTACAAAAAATGCCACCAGAATCTCTGTATATATCCAGTAATATGCAAACTTTAATCCCTCTACCATTGCCTCATCCCTTCTCCATTTCTTTACCTATCCCAGTCCCAGGGCTTTATTTATCTGGATAAATCACAGATTATGTTCCCAGATTCTCAATGAATGTGACGTCCACTGAAAAGCAACGTGCTGGAACCTTGAAGTGACACCATAATAAGGAGTAAGTGCAAAGTCTGAAGGATACACGCTCTTGTAAAGGGTGGCCTGGGAGGGACATGAACAATTTTAACACAGGCTCAACGGTAAGCAGTCAGTCTCCACCATGGTTTTCAAGGGTCCATTCCTAACTCTCGTTCTAGTTGAGTCCCCACTGAATGGGCTGTTTCCCGTAAAACAAGACAAATGAACGAAACAGCTTATGACTTCATGCTCTCATAAATATGGCTGGCTGCTGCTTGCTCTACCCTTCCATTTCAGGTTTGGAGGAAAGCAAATGTCCTTGGCGGTGGGGACACTCTACAGCCCAATGGAGCATCCATGTGACAAGCACCAGGACCTCTTGGCAACAGCCACCAATGATTGACTTCCAACTGAAGGCAAGCCCAGAGGTGGCTCTGTCCCTGGCTAGCATCTTGACTATTACTTTATATGCTACCCAGGACAGGAATCATCTGGCCGAGTCTTCTCAAATCCCCGACCCTTGGAAAAGCTAGATTCACTGTTTTCTTCAGCCATTAAGTTGTGGTGTGACTCTTTTTTAATGCAGCAATATCTGAGTAATATCAACTCAATGCTCAATATGTCTTAGAAGAATGTATGAGGCATGAAATGGCATTGGACAGAGTGTCAGACTTTGAAGTCAAGGGCAGGAATACGGAGGACAGGGAAAGATAATGGTGCTCAATTCTCCATCTGCGCTACGCATATACAGCTATGTACGTAAGTATATATGCCCATATGTACTGTAGGAAATATACAGCGTAATCACCGGAAAAGCA